TATATATATATTACATGCATACATATATAAATTGTTTTCATTTATTACATATAAAATGATTGATGACTATTATTTGTACTTTTGTTTTAGGTTGTGTCAATTATAGGAGAGACAGCGATTAGTGGCTTTCAGGGAGGAATCGACACTTTCGAGCAGAGTCAAAATGGCAAGTATACCAAAGTTATCATTCATCTTTAATTTTAATTATTTTAGTATTACATTATATTCAACCATTTTTATGAAAAATTCACATATAATAATTAATAAGCGTGAAAAAAATATCAATTTTATGTTTACAGCTCAAACAATCACTACAAATGATGATGAGGATGATGCCCTCAACAGACATTGGAGAATGGAATTTTTGAATGAAAGTAAGTTTTATTATTATACATTCTGTAATCTTAAAAAATAATATTTGAGCTACTCTTTCCTCCTTTATAGACATATGTTCAGTACCTTTTAACACTTATACCATCGCTATGCATGATGGCAGTGTTTCTAAATGGCAAAGTAAGATGCTGAATTTGAATAAAAGTCTATTCTGGAGATACATTTTTCAGACATCAACTCAGGGGAATATGACATGATAGTTCCAGGGACACATGAGACAAGCCATCTAAGAGAAGAGCCAGAAGGTATTCTATTAATACCAGTGATCTTAAGACTTATTTTCTATATGCATAGAACAATCTTATTACTAAATTTTTAACATAAGTTATTTTTGTTACCAAAATAAATGTTATGTTTTTGTTAATTTTTTCAGAAATCCCAGATACATGTACAGTGCCACAAAGAAAAATATCAAGGAAGACAAGTAAGAATTTTTAAATATAACTTCAATAATAACCAGAGGAGCACACATAAATTGATGTACACATTAATTGAAATGTGTTCGATAAGCAAAAGGTGATTTAAAAAAAAATGATTTGTATTACATTTTTCAGAGGAATGCAGACTGGACAGAGTGGTAGATGTTGAATCAGAGAAACTGTTGTGTTTAAAAAGGTTGGTGGAAATAGAAGAGGAAAAGTTACAGTTGAAGAAGGAAGTGTTTCAATTTAAGAAAATGAAATGGGAGGCAAAGGTGGCCCAAATGAATTTACAAACAATGCTAGAATGAATGCTAATAAATATTTATTTACATGTGCATGGCTCCTAGTTGTTTTATGCAATAACTTGCAAAATGAAAGGGTTTTGAAATTAAATAAAAAAATCCCATTGACCATTTTACTGATTAAAAAATCTTGGAAATATGAATGTTGGCGTTTATAACATAAATAGGTAAAAGAGAAATAGATTTTTTATAGATCATAATAAAGATAAACAATTTGAATCTTAAATCTTAATTTGTCCAGTAGAATTTATAATACAAAAAGATAAATATGAGGCTACTCAAAGAAAATGAAATAAACTTATAAAATCAAGTAATGTGAAAGTTAGAAATGTCACTCCTTCACTCAATTTAAAAAGTCATTTATACAACAGATGTCAAATACATATCTGCTTTCATCACCAACACGTTTCATTGTAAGAAATCGTTAAATTTCAATAATTTTGGCATAGCTTTTCTGAGAAGGTTTGTTGGTGGGTAGTCCTGAAAAGGACAATTTGATTCCAACTCCCACCGTAATTGGAAAACGGCTTAGAGGTGGACTACCTCTAAGCAAAGCGCTCATTAATGAGTCGCTCTCGACACTGGACCCCATCAGCTGGGTACTCCCCCACATGCACATCTAGACATTGTTGAACACCAGCCTCCACCTCAACATCAGGCATCCCTTCCCTGATGCAGAAATTGTGTAGCTTGCAACATGCCAGAATGATGTTGGCACTGGCCTCTGGGGAATACATCAGGCACCCTCCTGACTTGTGAAGGCACCTGAAAGCATTGAAAAATAAAGTATTGTTGAAGGCAGATTATATATATATATATATATATATATATATATATATATATATATATATATATATATATATTTTTTTTTTTTTTTTTGTGAAAAATGACATGAAATATGATGATAATAACTATGATGATACTAGGAACAATAAATTAATTAATTGTTAACTTTTACAATATTGTTGAAGGCAGATTGATAATAACAGTAATAATACTAGGAATGATAAAATAAATGTTTTAACTTTTAGATAGAGAAATAAATAACACACAAAGAAAGACATGCATAAAACTAAATAACATTACTAACACATTAAAATGAAAAAACAAATCACCTGAAGCGGCTCTTTAGAACACCAAAAGCACGCTCAATGAGATTACGGGTCTTCATATGTGCTGCATTGTATGCAGCATTCGCAGTTGATGCCACATGTAATTTTGGGGTCATCAGCCAAGGCCTCAACACATATGCTGAGTCTCCGAGTATAAACCCAGGGGGCATGTCCCCTGACTCAAATGCTGTCCCCAGGCCAGACTGCCTCCATACAAATGAATCATGTGTGCTGCCCGGAAACTGGCACACATCATTAGTAAACCTGAAAAACAAGACAACACTTAGTGATTTTCCTATGAAATTAATTTTTTGGGGTTCAAGTAACTTTCATAAATAGGTCAAAATTTACAGTTTTTCTACTATATTGATTATATATAAAAAAAATCACAAATCAAATTGTCTGGGCTTTTAATAATAAATTGTTATTTTGTTTTAATATCTGACTGGTAAACAATAAAATCAATTCTAAGTTTTTTCCCTAAATTCTTCCTATAATAAAATACTTTGTCAGTTTTTTTCTTAATGTACTGTAGATCTTTGTAAATATGAATAAAAAATACTTACAAGAGACGGGCATCACACACTGCCTGAACATTAATGGCATGATACCCCTTCCTACACACGTACAGGTATTCATCATCATGGGGAGCCAGTATGGGGACCATGGTTCCATCCAGGCATCCCAGAACTCTGGGAAACCCAGCGACCCTGAAGAACTCTTGCTGTGTTCTTCTCACATCCACTGGGTCATGTGGGAAAGACACAGCAAGTTCAGGGTCGTCTGATGCAGCGATTGCAGCTGCCACAGCAGAGATTGCCCTTGAAGCCGCCGGCTGACTGATACCGTGCAGGTCACCGATTGCTGACTGAAAGGTCCCAGTGGCAAAAAACCTTAAGGCAGTCAGAACCTGCTGCAACGGTGTCAGTGCCTTTGACCTCTTGGTTGGTCTCTCTAGGCCACCTCCAATCAACTGCACCAGTTTCTGGATCCCCCGTTTGTTCAGGCGATACCTGGATACAACCTCCTCGTCAGTCAATGAGTCCAAAGGATCGCTAGGGCGCTGCGCCACCACTCTCCTTCCATTTCTTCCTCGCCCGACTAGCAGAAGATACGCAGCCATCGCTATCTTTGTTATGATATCATCGGTGCTGAATAGTACCCATAGTATGACCTACCACGCATGCGCATTTAGTTTCGACAAGCTTTCGATGAGCTTTCGACAACGCTGAGGCTGTCGAAATTTTCATCGAAAAATTCGTTAACGATTTCGATGAAAAAATTTTCGATAGCTTCCAGAATACCGATTTTTCGGATTCGATTAGGATTCAATGAAAAATTCGTTTTCGATAGCTTCGAGAATACCGCCCCTGTTCTCTAAGAATGCAAGCATTGGAGTCAAAGTTGAACTTCCGCTGTAGCTTAAGTAAAATATTTGGTTTCAAACTCGTTTTTCTCCACAAAATAGGGTTTAAATCAACTCGAGGAGCATCTGACATGATTTGCAATTTACTTTTAAAAATGATAATATACATAACAAAACTTTTATATCCTTAAAGGCCGAGATATTCCACCGTTTCTGACACCCTACAAATCTCAAGAAATTTCACCCAATTCAAATTCTTGAACTTCCGGTTTGGTTAAAAGCCACCTAGCGGCAGACCGGTGGCTCCCAGTGGAGAAAATATCTGTCTTCCACATCACAAATAAGTACATTTCAAATGCTTTAAAATGATATGCTGCACACTATGTATCAAAAAAGTATCGAAAGGCTGCCAAAGGAATAGAAACGTGTAGATAAAATGTTGCAAATGTTGACCCCCTTTCCGGCGACGTGGTGACCTCGATCAGCTGATGGCTGCATTAAAAAATATGTGCAAGTTTCATTAACTTTATTTTGTAGGTTTTGTAAATAATAATGAAATGGAGCATTCAGTGATGATTATAATGTCTTATCATCTACTTTCGAATGATTTTAGATATTTAAACAGCATTTTAACTAATTTAAAAGGCTCGGTTTATCCATTTAAATAAAGGATATCCAGTTCAAATAATGAGGTAATCATCACTGATGGAAAAAACAAATGACTTAAACTGTTTTAAATACCAAAAAAAGACTTACTAGTAATGTGTGAGTTAGTAAAAGATTGTAAATATTGGCATTTTTTGATAGTATTCCACTTATGGCTTTCCTTACATAACATTGTACTTATTACACAGTTACAGAGTAAGTTCTAATTTTCTAATTTAGAGTAAACTGACACTTGCTTAGGTTGCACTTTGATCATAACCATTATAGCTGTTTTCTTGCTACTGTTTCATTTTGAAATTGATTCATACTGCAAAATATAATTCCTGCATAGTCCCATCTACCTGCTGCAGTGTTAAGATAAGGGAAAATAAAACCAGTATATACCATAATTTTAATTAAAATAAGAAAAAACCTTCTTGCCAAAGAAATAAGTATATTTCATTATTTAAGTTCCTCATAGAATACAAATGTTTAGTCTTGTTACAATAATAATGAATATAAAATGATTATTTATTTCATCATAAATAATAACAGTAATAATAACTGAAAGTTTAAATGCATATCATTTTTTTTTCTGTATTTTCTCCTTTATGATATATTGCTCATAAGGAATTATTTTGGGTTTTGTTTTGGATAAAGAAGTATTTTGTATTTCTTATCACAATTGTTATGACTGAAACTAAAATTGCATGCACTGTACAGTGAATTTCCTTCTATTTTCAGGAAACTGGTTTGTTTAATTTGAGTAAACAAATAGAAACATCTTATAATTCGCAATGAAATATATTTTAACCGTGGCTTGTACTTTTTAGTCACAAAACAGATTTTCTTTTCTTTTTTTTTTCTTAAG